GATTCTGCATTTTTCCTGTTTCTTTATTTAAAAGCTTTGTGTGAACCACAAACTCCAAATTCCCAACTCTGAATGAAACAGGCTTTTCAGGAATGGATGAATGAATAATGAATAATGCCAATAGCTCTTGAAGCACCCTTCAATGGTTGGAGGCTGCTTTCTGTAATGACAAGTGTTGCTGTGAAGTTGCAGCCTGCAGAGCATTTCTAGAGCACAGTAATAATTAGCAAACAGTGCTGTTGATGATACAAGCTGGCGAGGAGAGCACCACAGATTCAAACAGGAGGGGGATGCTTTTTTCCTTCATAGTATGGCCTTGCTTCTATGTCCAATAGCACAGGTTAGTTGTCTTCTTAAAAAGAATAATAAATGAATTATGTTGTGTAGCAGAGGAAAAAATAGGAAATCGAATCCAATATGATAAGAACTTTTAAAAAAATCCTTAAAACATGATACAATAACACATTAGAGATTTTAATTGTGCACCTATCCAGCATCTTTAAAAATATGTCCATATTTGTTTGTCCACATGGAGAAGGGCCTAGGTCACATGGGGAAGGGTCTAGGTCCTGCCCTAGATGAAATGACAGACTCTGGAGATCCCCCAAGGAGGGCCTCATCCTCCCTAGGGAATGATGTGGGGATTGGGTGGGGGGCTGAGAGAGGGCTGGTGGAAGGATAAGGGAGGAGGAGTGGGAGAGGGAGCTGGGATTGACATGTGAAGACATGTGAAGCATGCATGTATGTTTCTAAGACATAATTTATTTTAACAAAAAAAGATGGCTCAGTGGTTAGTAGTACATAATATTCTTTGAGAGGACCTGAGCTTGTGCCCAGCACACATGTCTGGATGTCCACAACCTTCAGTAACTTCAGCACTACAGGACCTGAAGTGCTTCCCTGGCCTCTAAGGGTATCCCTGCATGCACATGTACATCCAGTCACACATACCACAAATAAATCTTTGAAAAAAGAAAATAAATAGGCAACGAATCGATTTGGTAAAATATATCCATATTTGTTTGTGGACTATACTGATTCTTCTATTTCTAAATTGTTGCGTCAGTTTTAGAATTTTTCCTACACCAATCCAAGTTGACTATATGTTATTGTAAGAAAAAAGGGCTACCTGAGGCTGCTCCGTTTGCACCTTAATTCCAAACCACTTCCATGACACCAGGTATAACGATACTCGAGGCTATATAGGGAAAAACAATATATTTATTTATTAGGGAGAGAGAGAGTCACACATACCAGGAGTTAAAAGCGTGGCTGGCTTCCAGGAGAAAAGAGGGAGGCCCCTTTTCCTTTCACTACCTTTTATCTCTACCTTGACCCCACCCTGTTGGGCGGGTAGCTTTGTGGGGTTCACTCCTACAATTCACCTGGAGTATCAGTGTGGACACAGTTCTATTTTCCTTTGGTTATGTCTCCCTAGTCACGTCTAGGGGAGAAGTACAGAAGAGAAAATGGTGGATAGTTCCAACTATTCTATTAAAGCAGAAAACAATTCCATGATGTGTCTACCTTTGTGAATGAGTCTTTCTAAAATACTGATAGGGAACAATATCTTGTGGCCATTGAAAATACTCTCCACTTGATCCAGTGGCATGGAAATTTGCCTCATTTTATTTGGGATGATCGTGCCACCTGGAAAAAAGGAAGAATACTTTCTGGCTAAAATCATTTGTAAGGTTACTCTCCCCTCCAGTGTGGGGAAGAGAATTATAAAATCTCATTTGTAGTTTTCATCGGCTAGCATTTTCAAGCATGAGATAATGTTGAAACTATCCTGTTTCACCCAAATGTTTAAATTCCTTAGGGTGTACCATACATTCATGATAAAGCAGTTATTCTAGCAACTCGAGAGCAATAAAACAGGGGCAGGAAACCCTGCATGTCCCACAGGAGATGTGGAAGCAATGGTAGACAGATGTGAGGGAACCAGTGTTGCCCAGGGTCAGTATAAAGACTCCTTTGTTGAGGCACTGACATCAGTTCTTCATTTGTTGGGTCACTGGGCATAAAGTTATATAATTCAACCTTGTCCTTCTCCTAGTCTCCCATTGTAGACAACACCTCTTTAGTGTTCTGTGGTGGTTCCTGTACTGGCAAAAGCCACTTCCTATACATCCTAGACAAGTTTGACTTTTTTTTTAACAGTAGTTCAGGGAATTGGGCAAGTAAGAAGTGGTTAGTAATTCACGAGGTAACTAGAAAGTCCTTCTTATTTTGACATACTAGGATCCTAGCCATAACTCTGAAACGTCAGACAATGCCCCTGCACATTGTCCTGGTGACTTTCACAATTCTTGCCAAACGCCATTGTGGATTTTTTTTCAGTTATATAAAAGGCAGTTTGTGCCCAATCTTCTCCTAACCATTGCTGGCCTACTCTTATTATTTTGCATTTAGCACACAGAGACTGATTTCTTGCCTAAAATTAGTTGGATTCTATTTGGATCAGTTCAGCAGAATTAAAAAGTGTAATTAGCCTGAGAATGCACCGCACTCCCCAACCTAACTGCCACTTAAATATGTCCTGCAATGCTTATACACTATAGAATTCAAAGAACTGAGTTCTAGGCTGAAGCAGTTGACTGCATGCAGGAAAGCAGTCATGAATTGCTATGAGCTCCTCGTCGACGATCCTGCATATGTGTGTGCTATCATCTACAATTGTCCTCATAAAATTAAATAAAAGCACGCGCTTATTATTGTGGGGCTCCAATTAAGAGACAGCTGGTGCTCTTATTACGCTTGCATTACATTGAAACTTGTAATTTAGATGTCCAGATGCACATTTTAAAATCAAAGTATAAAATTGCATTCGCTTTGTCCATTTTCCATTTTGAAGTATCTGGAACCTTACATCAGTGCTCCTCCTTCCCTGTAAAACTCCCTGAAGTAGGGGAAGCATTTCTCCTAACATTACTCCTCTCTCAAATTCTTAGAAGGAAATAAAAAGATCTGGACTTTTTGGAAGGGAGGAGACCCGGGAAGGCAAACGACGAGTATTTAACCCTTTGTAAGTTGATGTGTATGTGTTGATGGAGGTTATTTTGAAATTCCCTACTTGCAGTTACCTGTCTAGGAAGTGACTAGAAACCTAGAGCTTCGCACTACATCACATTGCCTTTCTCATTGGCACTCCCGTTGGTCGCTGAAGCTCTAGAAACTTTCGAGGAGGCTCGCGCTCCCCACCAGGGTACTTACAGGCTTCCCCCTAGCTTTGCTTCTGTGTCTGGAGCGTTATGATTTGCACTCCCGTCCCCAGTTAGTAATGATATGACAAAAGCCACTCTGGCCGAGGGCTCGGGACGGGCTGGGTTTGGGTTTTTATTGTTTTTGTTTTGTTTTTTTTTGTTTTTTTTTTTTTTGAGGGGAGAAGTGCCACACCCCCTAGGACTAAAGCCCACGGGGGGCGGTCCGCTCGGCGCGAACGTAGGAGTCACACAAAGCGTAAGGTCTCACGACGAAAGTGCGCCCTGCAGGAAGGTGTCCCCACCCGGAGCGTGGTCGGGAGCGCCAAAGTGCGCCCTCCAGGAAGAAGGTGCCCCCACTCGGAGCGTGAGCAGGAGCGCCACTTTTTGGCGCTCTTTGCGCGCGAGCCGCGAGGAGGCGGAAGACCGTCCCGGGCCGGCGCGGCAATCGACCAGCAAGCTCCTGAGTTGCTGCGCGTGTCGCCGTCCCAGCGAGACGCGTCTGGAGTGGCTCCCTGGTCAAGGTGAGGCTGGGTTGGAGGGTGGCGGTGGCAGCGGCCAAGGCGAAGGCCACCGCGGGCAGAGCGGCTCTACCTGGCCGGGCGGGGCGGGGCCTGCCCGAGCGAGGAGCAAGAGAGCGAGCGCGAGAGGGGAGGGAGAAGCCGTTCCTTCGCTTTCGGGCTGCTGCACGGAGTTTGGCGCGACTTGCGGGTTTTGGCGCCTAAAGACGAAATTGTCCCCAGGAGCTCCCGAGTCGTCCCCGCCGCGGTGTGTGGGAAGCCCGGAGGCTGGGGTCCCTCCGGTACGGAGGACTTTTGTGTGTGTGTGGGGGGGTGCGCGGTGAAGGGGTTCGGGGGTCAGAACCCCGGACGCTCTTTTGCCTCGGGGCCTGACTGCGGGTGCGGGGGGGTGAGGGCGGGTTACCGAGGCAACGGCGATCGTCGGCGGGAGCCCCACGCCTGCCCAGTCGCCCCGGGCCGCTCGCCGGTGAGGGAGCCGCGCCGGCCGGCAGCGAGGGCACGGGGCGCTCCGAGGTGTGCTCCAGTGGACTGAACCAAGCGCACGCGAGCGCGGGGGAGGGAGGCCGGCCTCCCGGGGCCCCTCCTCCAGCCCGCCACCAGCGGGACGGGGCGCAGTGGGGGGAGGGGGACCCCGAGGACTCGCCACAAACTACTCACTTTTCCCGGCCTCAGGCCCAAGCGCGGGGGCGGGCGACGGCGGGGGGGGGGGTCCGATAGGGGGCGGGGGGAAAGGTTGTGCTCTTGGTCCTCGGAGTCCCCAGTGCCTGTTGCTGGACTTGACATTGGAGACCCCGCTGACGCCGACTCGGAGGCCAGTAGCACGTCCCAGCCCGAAGTTGGGGACATGGGGCGGCCTTGAATTTGCTTATACCTAAGGATGTCAGGAACCTCGCTTTAAAATGGCGGCATCCACTATACACCCCTGCTAAAGGCTCGCCCCACACCGGGGCCACCTCACCCAGGCAGGGCTGCTTTTTGCTTCTCCCGCTAACAGATGGCATGTGCCACTGTTTGCTGCCTCTGCCCCTACCGCTGCCACTGAGAGCACGGCCCCTTAACCTCTTGGGTTTGCGCTAGCGACACAAGGTAAGGCTGAAGAGGACTTGGGGTTCCCCAGACTGACTGCCTGTGAACCGCACTGCTTTTTAAAACTTTTTCCACTCCCGCGATATGGCAAGTAGAAGCAAAATTAACACTGCCACTTGTTGCGTTTTTTTTTTGTTTTGCTTTTCCTCTGTTTTTTTTCTTTTTCCTTCCCTCTTCCAGTCTTTTTTTTTTTAAATTTAAAGGAACTTCTTGCATGGCATGGCATTAGCAAAGACTTCCGATAACACCTAACTTTCCCACTTCCCTGGGATGCCTGAGTAGCACTGTGGCAGAACCGCATCTCTTCCCGCCCTGGGTTGATACATTTGGACAGCTTGCTTTTTATCACCTGGGCTGAAGGGCATGAGGACAGTACATTGTAGGGCAGTATTATAAAGGGTAACTTTACTTTTTAGCACTTAGGCAATATGCTTCAAAGATAAAAATAAAATTAAAACAAGGGTACTTTTGGACTTTAACAGATTATTAATTGTGCTGTTCTAATGGTTGTGGCAGACCAACTTTGTGTTTTTCAGAACACTGTTTATTGATAAGTGTGCGCACACACACATACATACGTATACATGGGACTTTTCTGTTGTGATGTGCTTTTAGGAAGTTCGTTTCTTCTCATGTTCATAATTGCTATTTGTAACCTGGTCTCTGATCCTACAGCCTCTCCATATGTGTATGTAAAGTTCATGGGAAAGCATCAATTACAATAAGGCTGCTGCAGGATTTAGCTTTGAAATGATTGATTTATCACAGTGTTGGCGTCTTGGTTTAATTACTAAGTCTTTGGGTGATGACTGATAGAGTGGTTGGAAAACAGACTGGTGATATACCTGAACTAATGATTACTCACCCACACTAAACATAATTCATCCAGATAGTTCCTCCTCCTGATGAAAGGCATTTGACAATGAGCCTTAGCAGAGGCTTTGGCTTTTTCCTGATTATAGTCACATTTTCTCTTTTGTGTATGCAAATTAAATCCTTAATAAACATTAAATACTAAATCAATTTAAGTTTATTTATGTGATGCTTTGGGGAAATATTTTCATATTTACAAAAACTTCTCCAAACATAGCCTAAATAGACTTTTGTCTATAATCCAGCTGACAATTATTCTCCTCCACCGTGTGTTTTACTTCTCCCAAGCAGTAGAAACTAGAAAGGAAGGAAAGTATTGTTTTGCACCTAGTAAACTAGCACAGTTTTTCTGTCCAGGTGCTGCAGTCTACCCAGAAACAAAGACCATGGCTGCTTACAGTGGAATCTACTGTCTAAAAATTCCACACCGTTTCAGGTTATTGTTTAGGGAGCCCTGTGATTGCTTCACAATTGTAAAAGGAAGTGCTACAGGCAGAGTAGTAGATACTTGCATTATTATAACGTTTTTGCAATGGAGCAGTGACAAAAATCAGCTTGTCTCATTTTTTAATGATTCCAAACTTGGTCCTTCTATAAGCTTCACCTCTGTGGGTGCTGCGGTAGGGCTCAATGACTGACCCAAAGACATCATTTTAAAAAGTGAGAGTGTTAAACCTTGGGACCAGAGCATCAGAGGTGTGAGAACATGTCCCAGTTACTGTTCTGCTGCCTTCTGCAGGGATGAAACTGGAGACTGAAAACGTGAGTGAAGGTCTATTGGAAAACTGCTTGTGAGAGAGAATTGGTGCAAGCTGGCTTAGAGGTGGTGACTGCATGTTTCACTCTGTAAGAATCACTTCGTCTCTCTGATTTCCCTTGCTGCTTTAAGAATGCATAATGAGTCCCAGGACTGTTGCAAAATGGCTTTTCCTCAACTGTCTTCTTCAGGCATTTCATAACAGCTTCTTTTTAAGGAGGATAAAACCTATGACTGTGAGCTGGTAGCCAAAGTAGCCTTGTTGATTGTACTTGTACCCATCTTATAACTAAATAATGTTTTCACACGTAGCTATTTAATAAATGTTAAACTATATAGAAAAAGACAGTCTATAAATTCACAAAAGAACAGATTCTGTGCACAGCTTTTAATTTAAACAGAAAGCCTTTTTGTACACTTGCAAGAACCTAAAATGTAAAGTGAATTACAGTGTACATTCTCCTAATTGCATTCTGCTTGCCTCAAATGGGCTCTTTTGCCTCTCATTATACTTCCAGGAACTTGTGAAAGTTATCCTTTTTGCCAGTAGGTATATTATTATCTGTCCAGCTTTACACAATGAAGAAGTAAAAAGCAGCTCAGAAATAAAAAGGGTTTTGTCTTTTGACTGGCTGCACAGTACTACACACTGCTGGAATAGTGACAAGCTCTTGGCTGTTGTGCAGATGTTGACAATATAGCTTGAAGTACAGTTCTGTTCTCCATTCAGCTGTCTTTGCATCTAGGAAAGGGGGAGGGAGTGGAAACCCTTAAAGTAATGAATATATTCATTCATAAAATTTTACACGTTCCCTGATTTTAGTGAAATAAAGTCAAGAAGGTAGCAGAAATTTTCTTTTGAAATAAAAGGTTCTGTCTGCTAGCAAAAGGGGATTTGGGAAATGCAGAGAATAAGTTACAGTGCGTGTTGGACAAGTAACTTGATCCTGTCTTGTTGTTAAAGTAAAACAATGGCCACTGCCATGTTAAAATGCTCAAGAATCTGAAAGAGATGCAGGTTGCAATCAACTTTATTTCATAAAGATGCTTCCCCATTGTTGATTTTTGTTGTTCTTGTTATTTTGAGACAGGGTCTCACTATGTAGCCCAGACTCACCTTGAACTCCTACACTTAATGCTCAGCTCTCAAAGGCTTGGATTACAGGTATGTGCCAGGCTGTTGGGTTATGACTGTGATTAAACAGATGGGTTTAGGCCATTATAAGTGCACGTGATATTAAAGAAATAGAAATCAGAAATCATATTTCTCTGTGAGATTTTCTGCTTCTTCTTAGGTATACTTATTTCAAAAATAGATAGCTGAGTTTCGCATAAAATGAAGTGAATCTTTTCATTCTAAGATAACAAACTGTGTCTGGGTGCAAGTAGTTCCACTGTCAAATAACCAGGCAGCAAACAAACATAAATTATGAGCAGGTAGAAACAAGTGGATCTGTATTAATGTAGACTTTAATCTATAGGGAACTTGATGGTTGTACAGATATATGGATATTTATATTTGCCTTCATGACAACCAAGGGACCATACTGGAAAGACAACATTGAAAATTAGGATAAATACATTAAAATTACGTTATCAGATGCTAATGACTTAAAAGAAAGCAAAAAATATTTTTATACTTGTTTTTTTAAAAGGCACAGTGTAAACCCATAATTATTTTCTGGTTGCTATTAAATTGAAAGATGTTGCCTTTAAAAGATTGATGAGGAATATACAAGATGTGATCATATTTTTGTTTCAGAAATACAAGTATTCCACAGGTGTTTAGGAATATAGATGGAAGCATAAATTTGAACACAAAATTCAAATTTGTGGTCAATTAAGAACAATATTTGCAGTTACTAATTTATTTCTTCCAGAAATATAGAAAAAATACCTATTTTATGGTATTTTTCCAAGGGGGAACTTAAAGAAAAACAGGTTGAATTAAATTATGACCAATATTTGATATGAATGGTGTGTTTCTGTTGCTTAGAAATGTTTAAGTCTAGGGTTACAATTGCAGAAAAAGAGTGCATTTCTTAGAACTAATGAGGAAGCAACAATGAAAAGAGACTGATTTAAGTGTGTGTAGATTTTTTTTTATTTTTCTATGTAACTAGTGTTATAATCATTTGATCCCAGAGCTTATTTTTATGAAATGTAGTGGACACAGGACCTCACTGTTTTCCCAAAACTAATTTCAAACTCCTAGGCTTAAATGATTCTACTCCTTCGGTCTCCTAAGTAGCTGGGACTACAGTCACGCATCACCATGCCCAGCTTCTCAAAACCCTTTATAACAACCATGAAAAGAAAAAAGTTAAGGGGAAGAGGATCCAGATTAGAAATTTAAGACTCAATTAGTCATGCTTGTTAAAATATTATGTTCCACTCTCAAGTACTTCTTGCATCAGTGTTAAGTTGGCTCACAAGTAAAAGTGATTTGTTTATGATTTTTGGTAGGAGTTAGTTTTATACCTGTACAGTGATTGCATTTGTGTGGCCAGAAGGAGAATGCCTACAACTGAAAAAGGGCAGTCTGGATGTAAATGCAGGTAGTTGACACTGAAGAATTCTGCCTGGCTATTTGATTACTCTAGAGACTGATGGTTGGCTGCATTTGGTTTTCCACTTTAGGTTCTTCAAATTGGTTTTAGTGTGTCCCCATCTAATTCTGAGAATTCTGAGCTTCTTGGCTGTCTACATTTTTGTGGAAATTTGAGGAAGATTTCCTTAGGCTCATACAGGTGTCCTTAAATGTACCAGCATCTCCTTGGTAGGTAGACTAATGGATCTCTTTACCTTATCTCCTCATTGCTTCCTTTTCTAGGTAAAGGTTTTTGTAAATTATAGATTGATATTTCTAATTTTCTCTTGCATTTTTGCATATTTCTCTATGATCTTAGCAATGTTTCTATTTTTATAAAGAGAAAATGAGCACAGTTTATATTTTGCTGAATGTCTTCTGAGGACCATACTGGTGACTCAAAATGAGCCCAGGGATAAGCATTCAAAAGCATCTTTTAAGATGAGACCTAAAGAGTGACCTGAAAACTAACTGCTATTTTTCTGTCACCTGAAATCACATTTCATGTACATCCTTTGCATCCCAGGCAAATCACCTTCATCATGAAGCTATGTAGATACAGTTGTCTTTAATTGGCTCCACAGATTAAAAGGAAGAACTAAAATAATTACTGTTACTCGGATGCCTCCTGTCATGTGTATTTTAGAAAGTGACACAGACACAGGTGAAATATGACAAGGATCCTGGACAGTCTCCTTTTCAGATACTGTTCATTTGCAGGTTGGATTTGCATGCATTTTTATTTATCAAGATATAGGTGTGAATAGTGTCTCTTTTTTACTGTATCCAGAAAGCAATTTCCTCACTGAAGGGATAAGAGCTGCTGTTTCTGATCCTCTGCAAGCATCTTGTGTGCCCAGAGGACTATTTTGTAGTTAGAGCTCTTGCAGTTTTTTCTTATGTGACAATATGAAAAATTATATAATGGTATATTGGAGAACATAGTGGAAGGGATATCTTGTTAAGTTTTTTAGCCTTCTACCTTCATGGAAAAAATAACAACCAAAGCAGAACAAAAGTATCACATGTGGTATGCGATTGAGAGGGGGAGGAGAGAGAGAATTCTTCAGTTATAAATGGGGGTAATGAATCAGTTGCTTTATTAAGATTAGGTTTGTATGGGACTGGAGAGATGGCTCAGTGGATAAGAGCACATACTGCTCTTGTAGAGAACATGTGTTTGGTTACCTGTAATCACATCAGGTGGCTAACAAACACCTCTGGCCTCCTCGGCACCTGCACTGTAGTGCACACATCCACCATTCACGATGCATACACATAATTAAAAATAATAAAAATAAGCTTTTAGAAAAGATTAGGTTTGTAATCTAGAAAAAATGGAAAAGTACTTGGGAGACTAATTGGGAAAGAGGAAAGGAATTGGGGAAAGGGAGTATGAATAAGAGGTTAATAGGGGATGAGTATACACTAAATACATTTTATACATGTATAAAAGTATAGTAATGAAATCTGTCATTTTGCACAATTAATGTGTTCTAGTAAAATATTTTTTTAAAAGAAAGGAAAAAAGTGTTAGACCCAAGGCATGAAGGTAGGCCTCACACATCACCTCAGTACTAGAGTCCGTAGTTTGTCTTTGTAGGTGCTTGCTCAGTCAGTTGTGTGATTGTAGATACTGTTGTTAAAGTGCTCATCGATGCTTCCGAAAATTATTGCTGTCTGTATATGGTGAGAATCCCAAAGAAGGTGGGGGGACTCTTTCTTTTTTAACAGCGATTTTTGAGAACTTTAAACTCCCCACTCATTTATGTCAGTATCCTGCCAGCCTCCTAGCCAAGTACTTGGACAGCATAAACTAAACCTTATTCATCCAGAAGTACAAACAGAAACAGTGCACCTTATACAGATAGCTGTGATTTATGTCTACAAGCTTCAAATACATAAAATTTGGGGGGTGGAGCCGCTGGGATTCTGAGCCTGTGTAATTTGTTTTGTTCTATGAATGTCTAGAGCAGTGGCCTTAGCTACAGACAGATCATATGTCAGTATGGTTTTAAGGTAAGCTTGAGGCTGAATTCAGATTGACGTGGCCCTCAAAGGAAGGCGTTTTTGGAGTAAACCGTAGGTTTTAGCAGGACTTTTTTTGTTTTGTTTTATGAGACATGGTTTCACTGTGTAGCCCTGGCTGTCCTGGAACTCATTCAGTAAACCAGGCCAGCCTCAAACTCACAAGAGATCCTCCTGTTTCTACTTCCCTAGGGCTGGAGCCTCAAACTCACAAGAGATCCTCCTGTTTCTACTTCCCTAGGGCTGGAATTAACAGGACTTTAGATCAACTGGCTGCCCCTTTATTATGTATAAATCCTCTTTCTCAAAGAGATAAACTTTGTTCTATGGAGAAACTCATTTGGATATACTGAAAATTCTTTGTAGTGATAATAGCGAGGCAAAATATTTTTCCTGTGTTACCTAAGCTTGCTCTGTCACCAATTCTTGCAATTAATAACTTGACTAGCTAGGAAAATGTACCATAGTGCATTGCATTTCACCATGCTGGAAAAAAAATAAGAATACCTCTGTATTTTGTGAACAGTATGGTTTTCCTAATCTTAATAATGATCTACAATATGATTTAGTTAGGTAACTCATATATGAACATAACTCTGAATATGCACAAGTCATTTTGTAGACTGACAATGAAGAAGATTCACAAGAGAGTAAGAGAATCAAGAAGTTACTTCCTGTAATGATGCTATAGTCTGCAACTTCTAATACCTACTGATGAGGTGTGTGGAAACTACCCTGCATAATGCTGATCCTGAATTAGTAGGAAACAGCCAGGCAATATCAGGAATTGTAGCATTTGACTCTAAATACTTTTACTAATTTGTCTACTAATCTATCATTCATGAAGATGCAGCTGTGTGACCTCTGCTACGTGCATGATGTTTTGTAAGTTACATTTTTTTTATTTCAGTCATGGTTCATACATTAGCACTTCTTATTGTCTTGTCTCTATCTCAAAAGAAATCTCAGAAGTATTTTTAGTTATCTAAGAAAAAATTCAAGGAAAAGTTCTTAAAATGGTGACAAGCAATGACAGGAAATGCTGGTTGCCCTAGTCTCCTTCATAACTAAGTGAGGCCCCAGCTGGCTGATTGACTTTAAACTTCCTGTTAGGGGGTTGCTTGGGTCAAAAGTAGCTGTGTTTTCCATATAGAGTGTTTTTCTTTATTCTGTAAGGCCACAATAAATCTGTCGCTGGACTGCATATTTTGTATATTTTATGGACTGAATCATGTGGTTTGAGTTTAATTTGGAAGGCAGTGCTTTTACAATCAAGATTTTTTTTTACCCTGACATGTGCACCTTTGGGGTCTGGGATTGCACTGGCCTCCAAAAGTTTATGACTTTATTTACACAATAGTGATTGCTGAGGAGGGCATTTCCTGCTAGTTAATGACTGGCTGGAAGGACCAACAGTTCAAACCTAGGGGGAGAAGACCATTCATTAAATGCCAAGAAGGCCTGGTCCTTTTTCATCAAGTGATAGGAAGAAAGCTAAACTGCATTCTGCCGTTTCAGTTGCCCAGAGCAGGGAGGGCAGAGCTCCC